TATATATAATGATAACAAGTTGAGTTAAAAATTTGAATTTTATTTAATATTCTAATTTGATGCACAAGCCTGCCTCGTATCATTTAATGATTTATAAAACATAACGTCATGGTTTATTTGACTTAGATATATTAAAATTTTATGTTCCTACTATTTATATCTTTATCTTAGTATGTATATATGATAATAATAATAATGGTTTTTTATTTTTTAAGTATATTATTCTCATTATCTCCGTCTTTTATATTTAAGATATCTCTCTTTATTTATTTATATATATATATATATACTATTGTTAAAAATAATAACTAATATTTATTGAAGAATATAAACGTACATAAAAATAAATATTATCTTTCTTAGTATAATCTAATACATATTTATTTATTATTGTAACTACTTATTCCCAAAGACGTGGGACTAGATACTTCATGTTTCATGGAACGATTTTCAAATTTTAAAAATATATGAAGTATATATTTTATCCCAAACACTATACACATAACAATTTTTACACGATTTTAAACAAAATTTTGTTATAAATTTATAAAAAATATTCAATTCAGATATCATAATAATATTACTCTTGGTTTTTTTTTAATTGTTATCTAACTAAATTAGATTTCATTGATGCAATTTTGATTTATAAGGTCATTACATACTGAAAGCAACGAAATTACATGGAAGGAATAATTATTGTATTTCACAGTATGTTATTTTATTGATACAAACATGATTTGGCGTATTAAAAGTAATATTTGTGGGGGCTGGGGCAGTATAATATTGGAAAATAAAAAGTGGAAGAAATTGTAACACGGCGCGGCAAGTACGTGGTGGGGTAAGATTCCACGTAGGAGAAGGAAGGTAGATCGTAGATTAGTTTCCCTTACCGGTATTACCGGTAAGATTTTCAACCAATATAAAACCACGTCTTACACGTCAACATCCACATCACATTCACCTTCGATAATCCAGAGGCTTTCCTTCCTAGTAATCTAAACTATATAATGTTTCCACTCAATTATTACTTTTTTTTATATTCATAATTCAATAATGGTTATGGTTCCATGACACATGCTTACCCACATCTTCCACATTTATTGAAGTGATAATATCAAAATATACATTTTATATGTCCGCCAAATTCGTGATTCAAGGACCATTTATAATTTTATAAATGCATATATAAGTGAATACGTATTTCAATATTTATTGAAACAAATTTAAGTGTTACATTCACTAGAGATAAGACAATTAAAGAATATATAAGTAGTGAGTAATTCTCATGTTATAAGTCGATTTTGTAGAGTTAAGTTTGACTCAAATCTATTATTCTAAGATGGTATTAGAGTTATCATAAAAAGGGTCACCTATCATTTATTGCCTATGCTAGATCATTCAAAAGGGTCGTCTATTATTTATCCACGTACCAAACTCAATAATACTGAATGCATTGAGAAAAATCAAAATCAAAGTCCCAAATCGACTAAAGATAAGACAATTAAAAAATATATAAATGGTGAGTAATCCTCACCATATAAATAGTTATGGGTTTTGATATATATTTAAATAATTATAAACATTTTATATCACCATAAATATATATATTATAATTAAATAAATAATATAATATTGTAAAATCAATTAAATACTAAATTGTACACTTTAATAAAGTGAAATAAATTAAATATTAAATATAAATTCACATAATGAAACAATAATATTAACCATCTCATTAAAAAATATAATTTAATAAATATATAACAACCATACTATTAAATATTATAATTAATTGTATTTTTAGTTTTCTACATCCTGTGCTTGTGAATTTTATTTTTAATTGTGTCAACTAGGTTCTTAAACTTTCTTTATTGTTTAGAGTCAAATTCCTTCACCATTTCTTATTAAAATTTTGACAAATTTATAGGATACATTGATTAATGTGACATTGTTATGATGATGTGATATTGATACAGTAACTAACACAAATATATTGACGTCGTATGGTGATCTAACATGTAAAAATTGAAGAGAAATTGACAATTTATTCAAAGTGACATGAAGAAATAGGAGTTGAGGAGAAAGATTGATAAACTTTCGCACTACGAGAGATTGTCAATAGAACTTAGTTGTAAATGAAAAAAAATAAAATTAGGAACATCAATTAGCACAATTAAAACATGAGAAACTATGATGATAAGATTTGAGAGAATAAAAGTGTAATTATACTTGATTTTCTAAATACGTGCTCATACTTTATATATAATAATAAGAAAATTATTATTTTCCTTAACATATTTTATCTTTTTAAATACAGCCTCCTTACTTTAGAAAAGTCTTTTATATTTTATCAATATGTTGTGTTAGTTTAAATCACAGGTGTAAATTCAAATTTTATAAATAAAAAATATAATTAAAAAGGGAGAGTCTACCAAGATTAATCATGAGCCAGTAATAATACAATTAAAAAAAAAAGTTATATTTTTCTTCAATGGTGAATTCGCAATAATGTTGTGCACGTGTCACTTTATGAAGCAATTTTGATACGGGCATCTGGCTATTTCCATGAGAGAATCTCATAAAGTAGTGAATCGATCAAAAGCAAAGATATTGGGCACGAATTTTACACGCATATGTAGATCTTTATTTTAATTAAAAAAGGAGTTAAAGAAAATGGACAAAGTACATTACAAGTTGTGCACTTTTTTTTATTTTATTTTGTCTCCTAACTTCATCAATTAAATTACAACATGTTAACTCTATCTTTACACATAATCTCGTTCTATTATCTGTGTTCGGTCATAGTATAACTATAAAATCTACAAAATTTTCACTTGGTTTATATCTTGCATGGTCTTATTTATCAAACTCTTGCAGCTACAACATGAAATCTATAAGGCTATGTGGAAAAAAAAAACGGCAACACACCAAGCATGTACAGTACATTTGATTCTGAGTTTTTTTTTTCTTCCTCTGACAATAAAACATGCTGTGTGTATTTTTAACATTTTAAAAAGAAGAGGAAGTATAAAAGTATCATAATATAAAATCTGAAAGTTAAGAAGGATAATACATTTCGTGTGTTGGTTCAGTTCACCGGTATACTATTTTCATAAGAAGCCAAGCTCCAAAAGCACAAAAGAGAAGCAAAAGCCAATTGAAATTCGCACTTAAAAGTTAAACCACTCGTCCACCAGCCAAACAAGACACACACTTTCAACTTTGGAAGGAAAAGGACCAGGTCATGTACAAAACAAACCAAGAGAATATAATTAATATATACCCATCATGAGTTCATAATATTTTTTTATTGTCTAATTTGATGCTATACAATTCCTTTTTACAAGCCACTATGTACATTTAGCATCACATACCAGCACCCTAATGCCATTCTTACACCAACATAAAGTACTCCCCACTCTATGTTATATTATTATTGCTTTTTGACAGATATTTTTCTTCCTATTTTTTGTCCTATACAAGATATAGAGCAGTAGTTCCCACACTGGCCTCAGTGACAGGGCACAGGTATTGCAACTAAGTAAAATATGGAGCATCTTTTTCTGAGGGAAGTGGTAACAACTGCTGTATCTTTTTGGTATAAATATTGATTGGTAAGTGATCCAATTCCAAAACCACTAAACAACATTAGTATTCTATAATAAGCCCTCCACCCATTGGAGATCTATGTGGAATTCCTTTCCTTCTCTTAGCAGTTCTGTAATTAGCCACTGTTGGTGGTGGTGTTGAAGGTGTAAAGCTATGGATTTTGTTTCTGGCACTTCCATTGCTCATTCCATTATTCATCGATTCTTCACCATCAGACTCATCTGTCTCACCTAACATTTTCTTCTTCCGGAACTTTTTGGAGGTTCCAACAATCTGAGAAGAAAATTCAAAAGTTGGAAGAGATCATTCCTATCCACCTGTTCTCATCATAATCTTTTTCTTACTTTTTCAAAGCAAGCATAAAAAGTACAACTATAATGTTGCATACTTTATACAGCAAAAAAAGTAGGAGGTAGTTACAATTTACAAATGTTATACTTTACATACAACATTTCTAAAACAATAAGGAAATCAGTTCATCATATTTAGTTACAGCTAATTTAATTCAAAGATGTAGTTAAGAACTTTTTAATATATAGATAGATAGATTGATATAGATAGATATATACCTTGCAACCAAGAGAGCAGAAGCTGAAGGAATCAAGGAGGCTACGCTCACAGACTTGGCAGGTATTGGTGACCCCTTTTCCAGGCCTAGGTTGGGGCCTTTCATTTAAGAACACAATCTTGGCACTGTTAATAATGTAAGTTTGGACCCCTGTTATGTCCAGAAATTTCTGTATCTCAGACACCCTTATCACATCATGGTATGAAGACCTCCTTATCTTTGAAAAATAATAGAATTTAAGAAAACAAAAAATCGTCATCAGATGATAATAACCACATCATTTATCTAGCGAAAAGAAAATGCCGAAATTCATAAAATAAAAAAAATTATCTATCTAAACAGAACCAATGGACCATATAATTAAGTGATAAACAAATTTTCAACGAAAAAAATGGAAATTTAACTCTGACATGGGCAGTTTGCAAATTCAGCATTGACTGGCACGTGTAACCGATAAAACCAATACAAGAGACAGAATTATTTTGGACCGATCAAAAGAGATTGGATCCTGAGTCAGAACAATGTGGGAACAAGCTACAGAATCAGATTATAGTATACACACCCAAAGGGTTCGAATCTGAAGAGAATTTGGATCAAATTGAGCGATGGAACCTGAAAAGAGAAATAGTCTCGAGTCAAATAAGGTACCTGAATTGTTCTGTGCTCTTTGTGGGAAGAGAGACATGCAGAACAAAGGGCTCCATTGACACAGTCCAAGCAATACATATTGCATTCACTCTTGTGGGAATCTGCGTGGACTTTGCATTGAACAAAGAAGCTTGTCTTGAGAAGTGGCTGAAGCCATGAAGGCCACTTATTTTCTTCTTCCTTAAGCTTTTCTCCCACAACACCACCTTCTTCTTCATTGAAACCTCCCTGATCCAACCATAGACCCAGAAACCAAAACACACACAAAATTGTCAATTGAAGACAAACATTAGAATAATAGAAATAAACATCAAGAGGGTTGATTCCAAAAAAAAAAAAAAAAAAAAAAAAAAGCCCTTGTTGAACTTGGATGTTTGATATTTGCATTGATTGATAGGAATTGTATTATTACTAACCATAATTGTTGTTGGGTATTCTTTCTCTTAAGGTGGGGTATTTTGATCTATCATAGGAAGTATTCAGTGCAGAAAGAAGAACATAAAAAGAGAACTTTGTCTAAGTGAGTTGAGTTATGAGAGAGAGAGAGAGAGAAGGAAAAAGGTTGGAACTTGGAAGTGGGGGTATACTTTTGTAGTGGCGGGTGATGGAGGGTAAAGCGAAGCAAGTGCATAATATTATCTTCCTCTTCAAAGTCCAACCCGAACCGAGCTCCCAACCCGAACCTACCAGGTACGGATGCGTTTTCTTCAAGGAACTCACCGGGTCTCATGTGGTCACCTTCCGTTTTATTCGTTAATCTTATTTCCAATTTTCTTAATATCTCTCTACCGTTTTTTTATCAAATTATTTTCATAATTTGCCCATGTCGTCACGCCATTTTAATTACTTACTCAATATTATGAGCCTTTTTTTTATATTATTATTTCAAAGATGTATGTTGTATGATATTTATTTTATAATGAGATATAAGTTAAAAATTATACAAATTATTGAGTCCATAATTTTTTTTTATCATGTTATATTATCTATGACTTTACTAAGGGTTCCATTTTTGGGACACCCAATAATTAAAATTTTTAAATACACCTTTGTGACACCAATTCACACGAGTAAAATCTTTTAGTCAAGTAAATATTTTATTTTTAATATATTAAAAAGCAAAAAAAAATTGTAAAGGGTGTTAATTAAAGTTTAAAGGAATGTTTTTGTCTTGTAGTACAAATGACCCAGTCACATATTTGAGGTGTGTATAACTCGGTTCATCTCTCGGACTCATTTTGATTTGATGTTGGTTTTGAAGGATTTAAACTTTATAAATTAGGTTTAAATTTACTTTTTGTTCTTTATAATTTTATGATATACAATTTTTATATTTTAAATTTTTTATTATAAATTTAGTCTAGTGTCATCTAAAATTAAACAAAAAATATATATCGATGTGCTATGGGTGATAATATTTAATAGTTAACTATGTACACTTTCATTTAAAAAATAATATTATTTTTTACTATATATATATATATGATATGTCTTTTATATTTCAATAAAAAACACGACTATTAAACCGTAGGTAATATCATTCATGGACATTTGTTACTATTTTGTTAAATTTTAAATCACATGTTACCGTTAGAATAATATTATTTAATTTTAAAATTAAATTTATTAATAAAAAAAAGACACTTCATACTTCGTGATAACTTATTTTATATATATTAGCAAGAAAAAAGCATTTCGTGCTTGTATTGTATTAAAAAAAATTAAAAGAAAAAAATAAGAAATTACTCATAAAAAAGTAATTATTAAAAATAAATAAAGGATAAAATAATTCATGTAAAAATTAAAATTAAAAGTAATTATTATAAAAATGATTTATTAATTTCAAATTCTTAAATTTGATATAAATATATATATATATATATATATATATATATATTAGTAAAATAATATGTGATTATCAATAATTTTAAAAATAAAATAAAATATCTTTGTAAAAAGACATTTTTTATCTTCTATTGTAAAATTTATATAATATTTATGAAGAGTTAAACTTGTTACCGTGTATGCCAAAATAAAAAATCGACTTCATCTATATGTATAACTAATAAAAAAAAATTAGAGATCAAAATTATATATTCTTAAAATTTATATAAATAAAACCAAGCCTAAGAATTAAATGTCACTCGTAAACAACAAGACTCATAACTCTTAAATATATAATATAATACATTTTAAATTAAACATAAAATTAGATATCATAATATTTAAATTAGAAAACATACTGTACAAAAAAATTCAACAACAAAAAATAATATCCATTAATAATTATAATTAAATAAATAAATAAAATTGTTATAAGTATCATAATTATCACAATAAAAGCTGGAAATCATCATAATATCAGGTTTATAATAAATAAAAGAAAATGTTCTTTCAGCTTTATTTTGAACCGATTTTGAACAGATATTTTATAAAACTAAATATAGTTTAGGATTAAATGAATCAGTGTGATGTCCAATTCTCGAGTTGTTTATGATTTTGATAACATCGTTTAAAAAAATAATATACTGTGTGGGAATGTCATACTTGATTGCTATTGAAGTTTAAGTAATTCAATCATGATCTATTTTTAATTTACTGTCATTATCCTTCAACCATATTTATCACAAATTCATTTAATTAATTAATTCGGTGATGAGAAATATTTTACATACTTTTAATATTATTGGTGTTTTAATTTTAGACTCAGAAATTTGATTCCTTTGAATATTTTATGATTGCATTTGCAGTCACATGGCTGAAATAAATTGATGCGGAAATTAAAACCCTTTTGAGTTTTGATTTATATTAAAACCCATTCTTAATTAAATTGCAAGTATAATCATATTAATAAATAATGGATTAGTGAGAAGGAAGTTAGGTGACAACTTAGATTAACTTCGATTATTTCAAAGCCTAATAACGAAGACTTTTAATATATTTTCTTAGTATTATTATGGTCACATTTATTAACACGATTATATTAGTTCAATTATAAGCTTGAATATATTTTTTTCTCTCAAATTTAAAGTAAGTTTATTCTTAATCCCTTAAATTTAAAATTAATTTTTTAGTTTTTACAATTTAAAAAAAAATTATTTTAGTTTTTATATACAAATTTTGTTAAAAAATCTATCAAATAATGTTAAAATTTATTTATATTACATAATTGTCTCAATTCATCATTTTTCAGATTTATTAATGATAATCTAAGAGACTAAAATAAAATTTTTAAAAATTATAAAGATTAAAAATATTAATTTTAACTTTATGGGACTAAAAAAAATCTAAATTAAAAATATATTTAAACCTTCACCACCACCACTATTAAAAAAATCAAATTCAAATTTATTTGATCATTTAAGTTAATTTACATTCAGAGATTACTCTACCCACTTACATTCTTATTAATTATTATATGTAAGGTCTAGTAGTCTAATTAAGAATGAGAGACATAACCAGACCTTATTCACGTAACTTTGTTTTTAAAAATGGGGAAAAATATTTGCATGATTTGTATGAACTAAATTTATCGATTAATATATCTCATTCTTTTATAAAAAAAATAAGAGGTGAAGAATATATATTATTCTTCAATATAAAATCCTTCACGTTGATGTTCAAATACATTGAAAAACATTTACAACACAAAATAATTTAGTTTGTGTTTTTGGGCGAGAATTTTGCCAAATTGATTTTGAAGTAATGAAAATGGTTTAAAACTAATTTGGATTCAGATTGATTTTAAAGTGAAATATTTTAGATTGTATTTTTCACTTTAAAAACAGGCTGATCGTAAAACTCAATATAAATTTTGTTATCAAATATATAAATTACTTAAATATTTTAATTCAACATCAATTTCAGTATAAAACTATATATATATATATATATATATTATTTATCTACCCAAGTTGAAAACTAAGAACAACGTAATAATGGTAAAGAGTTTGAGTACTATACTATGATTTTGAGTTTGAATTTTAATAATACAATTATAATTTCTATGAATAAAAAAATTATGCAAATAAACATAAATAATTAAGTTTTCAATATTAAAAGTGAGTTTAAATCATTTCATAATTTTTCTTAGTTGGCATGAAATTCTCTTTAGAGAGATTTCTTAACTGTTGAAGACTATTTGAATAATTACTATTTAGTGATTTATAAATATTTATTTGTTAATTATTTTCAACATGTTATTGATATACTCTACAATAGTATTAAGGATGTCTTTTCCCATTTTATTAATTAATAAAATCGAAACACTTTTTTTATATTTTATTTTTGTAAGAATAATTAATTTTGAATATTATTTTTTTATTATTTAAAAAATTAACGATCAAATCGTCTAAAAAAATTATATACATCAAATCAAATAATCCCTTTTATTATATGTTGTAAAATAGATTTTATTCATAAAAATATAAATATTTACTTTTTATGTATAAATTATTCAAAATCTCATCGATAAATCCATCTTAATGAGTTAAATACTTTTTCTAACATCACTTTTTTCGAATAATATTTCAACGAGATTTTAAATATTTTAACATAAATCTAATTGCAAACCTATATGGACATTGGGATACTTTCGCCAACCCAGATCCTAAATCCATCCCATTTTTGGTATAGATGAAATTGATGTCCAACCTTATCTTGTCTTTCTTGAGTATAATCTTACATGCATTTAAAAAAAAAGAAAAAGAATAAATGATATATCAAAGACATTATAATTCAAATGATAATGCATAAAAGGAGTTTTAAAAAAATTGAACGATTTGTCGATAGAACATGGTTAAATATTACTATTTTACAAATAAGCATTGTTCTAATAGTTATTTCACTTATTTGTAATGTCTTGCTAACTTGGCTAAAGCCTAAAACCTCTGTCCTTCGTATTGCAATCATTCGGCAGATATAAGGTATTATAATTTGAGTTAATCCTTATAAATTGTTAGTGAAAAAAAAATTTACGGTGAAAATCAATTATATCTTTTAATTATATTATTTTATTATAAATTTATTTATTTTTAATAATAACATGATATGATTAAAAAATATAATTAATTATTAATAAAAAAAATTTACATAAATAATGTATAAGTAATTAAGTAATGTGATTTTAAGTATTACAAACTTTCTGCTACCATTAAATTTGAAATCGACTGCATTATGACACTTACCCAACCAAAGAAGTATCTAACACGTGCCAATCCATATTTTTTTCTCATATTCCTTCAAAGATATGACTCATCCTTACCACACGTGACAATCTCAATTTTCCAAGTGTCAATCATAAAAACAATGATGCCAAACTTAGGCAACCCTCAACCATGTCCCAGTCCCAGCGCAACTTTTTTGCTGCTAGAAACTAGAAAAGTAAGCCAACAGAATATATAAGTGTCTTTTGCGGGATGAATCCATTCATTACTCTATTTTTATACGTTTTAATGTAAATTTCGGAATTTAAAATTCAGTTAAATACGAAGAATCAAGTTTAGTGACGTATAAATAATTTTTTAAAAAAAATCATATACACATAAAGTCTTAACTGATGTATTTGTATGATTCTCGCTTAATTTATCACTATTCGGATTTCGGAATAAAAAGTTTTTTTTAAATAATTCCAATAAATTATTATTCATAATTACTATTGGAATTGTTCTTTGTTGTCCTATTATGACTCAATAATTTACTTATATTTGAAACAAGAAAATCAATGTGCAGTGAAAATAGGCTGACAAACTTGTGCATTTTTTTTTAATGAAGGTAAATAAACACGTAAAGAAAAACTACAATTGTAAAAATTGTATTCTCAAAATATCGGTTAAAATGATAGATTTCAAATCAAATAATAGAGAGTTCAACTCTAGTTATGTAGAACTAGAGTTTGATCCCAATCTAGCTAAATAATCAACATATGTATTGTCCTAATGTAATGTGTGTTTTGTTTGTATTTGTCAATTTCCACAAAATATCTCTTACATGTGCCAAATAATTATACTAAACCGATGTCTATTATTACAAGAAGATTGCACTAACATAATCGCATAAGAGGAATTTGAGAGACAAAACATCCTTATATCCAAGTTGTCAAGCAAGTTGCAACCTAATGAGTAATTCGACTAACTCCACTTTGGTATTGTTAGTAACACCTACGTCATCATAAAAATATTTGAGTCATGCTTTAAGCACTTATTGGTTCGCTTTAAGTAATAAAAAATCACTTTGAGTGCCCAAAATTTGCTTAGAGCGAGCCCAAATAGAGAACATTTTTGGGTGTCTCGATCCGGTCGCTTCAAACGAGTCAATTCTCTCTCTAATTTCAAGTGAAATACGTTCAAAGTGTTTAATAATTTGATCTAAGAAAAGGTAAACAAATACTTCCCTTACAACACCATGTCACCCCGCTCTAAGCAAGTGAAATCTCACTTCGAGCCTCTATATCTTGCTTTGAACGTTTACAATTTATTTTAAGTGAGTCAAGTTAGAGAGCATTCCTGATTGGGTCGCATCTACTCGCTTTGAGCGACTCTAATGATGTTTTGAGCGAGCAAAACCAGAAACATGCATAAACATTAAGAACAATTCATCAACTTAAGAAAGTTATTTCCCCTCAAAATTTCAAATTCCTCACAATTAGACTCAATTCCCATATACAATTCATCATATATCTACAAATCAACAAACAACTCCAAATTTGAAGAAAAAGGAAGCATGCAACAACAACTCATTGACTTTTTCTTCCTTCACCAAAAATCCAAAATTTAACATTCAACCCACTTCGAAATTGATCCCAAAACTATGAATCTCAAAAATTCCATCAACATTATGCTTATAAATCATTCAACATCTCAACTAAAACAAGAATTCCAACTCTCTTTACCTCATATGCGAAGTGAAATTAAGAAAAAGAATAGGAAGAAGAAGAATGAGCTTCAAAAACTCCACACCACCACCCAAAGTTCGAAAATTTATCTTTAGCAAAAACTTTGATCACAAGCTTAAAGCTCCACCACCTATATTCTACTCTCGAGAAGTTGAGAAAGAAGAAAGGAATTTAAGAAAACAACGTCCCTCTCTCTAGGTGCTTTGAAAAAAATGAGTTTTCAATGCTTAGACTTCAAAATGAGCCTTATAGATTGTTTCCTTTAAAGTCAAACTAGATTTATGCTTAGAAAATTTTTCAACTAGCACATAACTCATGAGGAATTACTTAATTTCAAATTTTTTCAACACTAAACCACTTACCAACTACAATAACACATATTTAAAAAAAAACAACATTGAAAGACTCACTTTGCAATATCTAAAAAATCATGATTTAATATTAACACAAACGATATGATAGTTAATATCTAAAAAATTTAAATTAAATTATACTTAAACTTTGTCCTTTTTATTTTTTATTTTTATCTTATTTTACCATTTTTATGAGATAAAATCATAAAATAGAAATTACTAAATAATTTATAATAACACATTATTTTTAAAAAATATTTTCAATATATGTTAATTAATATATAAGTTTTCTTCCCTCCAATTAATCACAAATCTTCCTTTCTTCAAAGTCATTTAATTTTTGTAGAAAATCAAAATTAAGCAACAATGAACTAATGTCCCAAAAGGTCTAATATGCTTTCTTCCGGTAATAGTAATAACTAATAAGAGGAAATGTTAAAACAAATAAAAGAAAAGAAAAATATTTCTTTACATTTCAAAATTTTGAACGAATACATTTCTTTCTTCCCTTTACATTTCCTTTTTCTGATGCTCGAGGGGAATGAAATAGGAGAGCGGGAAAGGCATTCGAAAGAGCAATCGGAGAAAAGGTAGGCTAAGGCGAAGGCAATGAGTTCGAAAGAGAGTTGCAGAGCCGAACTTCGCATCGCGATCCGCCAACTCACCGATCGATGCCTCTACTCTGCTTCTAAATGGTACTCCACACAAAACCCTAATTCCAAAAAAAAAATACCTTTTCTTTGCTGTGCGATTTCCGCAAATGGGTCGTTTGATTCTGACAAAAATGTGGGTTTCAGGGCAGCAGAACAGTTGGTGGGCATTGAGCAAGACCCCGCGAAGTTCACTCCTTCGAACACGAGGTTCCAGCGTGGTAGTTCGAGCATTCGCCGCAAGTACAGGACTCATGAGACCTCGGTGACGCCGATCGCGGGTGTTTCGTATGTTGCCACACCTGTGATGGAAGAGGATGAAATCATAGATGGTGATTTTTACCTTCTGGCAAAGTCCTATTTCGATTGCCGTGAGTATAGGAGAGCTGCTCATGTTCTTCGCGATCAAAAAGGAAGCAGATCGGTGTTCTTGCGCTGTTATGCTCTCTATCTGGTCAGTTTTATGCTTCCTGCCTTGGATTGAATGGGCATTTTCATTTGTGGGATTTTGTGTGTTGGAGATAGTGGAACTTGGGACTTGATTGGATTAATTTTTTCAGAAGTTAAAACTAGCTTTTGCATAAGTTAAAAAGAAAAAATGAGGAAGAAAAATGAAATAACTTTCTTCATAAGTTAAAACTAGCTTACGCATAAGTTAAAGATATTTTTTTGGAAAAACCATATGAGAGCTTTCGCGTATGTATAAATTAATTTTAGTTTACAAAGAAGTTTATTTCATTTTTTTCTCCTTGAAGTGTTTTGGGAGAAGTTTACTCAAATAGGGAACATACTTTTGAGTTTTGATGTATTATGGAGTAGAATCTTCTTTTCCCCATCATTAGTGTGTAATAATGTGGAGAATTGGCTGTTCGTTCATTTGGGCATGTGGGTCTGTGTCTAATGAGGCATCAATAATGGTGATTTGATAAGTTATTTTATGCGAGGTAGAGAGACCAATTTGATCACAATATATGCTGCTGCATCACTTATATCTTTTCTATTCAGTGAAGCCAAAGTAAAAATAATACATTTTACATTGTTACATGTTAGATTTTCCCATACTTCTTTACTTTCTACAGGCTGGAGAAAAGCGAAAAGAGGAAGAGATGGTAGAACTTGAGGGGCCTCTGGGTAAGAGTGATACTGTCAATCATGAATTAGTTTCTTTGGAGAGGGAGTTGTCAACATTTCACAAGAACGGCACAGTTGATCCTTTTGTGTTGTACATATATGGTCTTGTGCTCAAGCAAAAAGGCAGGGAGAATCTTGCACGTACAGTTCTTGTAGAATCTGTGAATAGCTATCCTTGGAACTGGAGTGCCTGGACCGAGCTGCAATCCTTGTGCAAAAAAGTTGATATCTTAAATAGTCTTAATCTCAATAGTCATTGGATGAAAGACTTTTTCCTTGCCAGTGTTTACCAAGAATTAAGGATGCATAATGAATCTCTGTCAAAATGTGAATATCTACAAGGAACCTTTGGTAATAGTAATTACTTACAGGCACAAATTGCAAAGGCCCAGTACAGTTTGAGGGAATTTGATCAAGTTGAAGCAATATTTGAAGAACTGCTGAGGAATGATCCTTACAGAGTTGAAGACATGGACATGTACTCCAACGTGCTCTATGCTAAGGAATGCTTTTCTAGTTTGAGTTATCTTGCCCATAGAGTTTTCATGACCGATAAATACAGACCTGAATCTTGTTGTATTATTGGGAATTATTACAGTTTAAAGGGGCAGCATGAAAAGTCAGTTGTGTATTTTAGGCGAGCCCTTAAATTGGACAAAAATTGTTTAACTGCTTGGACACTTATGGGTCATGAGTTTGTTGAGATGAAAAACACCCCTGCTGCTGTGGATGCCTATCGTCGAGCTGTAGATATAGACCCGTGTGATTATCGTGCTTGGTATGGACTTGGACAGGCTTATGAGATGATGGCCATGCCTTTCTATGCACTTCATTACTTCAAAAAATCTGCATTCTTGCAGCCAAATGATTCTCGGTTGTGGATTGCAATGGCTCAGTGTTATGAAACTGATCAACTTCACATGCTTGATGAAGCAATAAAGTGTTACAGAAGGGCAGCAAATTGTAACGACAGAGAAGCAATTGCTTTGCACCAACTAGCAAAGCTGCACTCAGAGCTGGGGCACCCTGAGGAGGCTGCATTTTACTACAAAAAGGATTTAGAGAGGATGGAATCTGAAGAGAGGGAAGAACCTAAGATGGTTGAGGCTTTGCTATATCTTGCAAAATATTACAGAGCACAGAAAAGATTTGAAGATGCAGAGGTTTACTGTACACGTCTTCTAGATTATACTGGCCCTGTGAGTCTAAATATTCAACTGAACTTTCAATTTGAAATAAGTCAGTCCTCCAAGTCATTTAATCATTTAAATCATTCTTACAGGAGAGAGAAACAGCAAAAAGTTTACTTAGAGGAATGCGATCAGCACAATCTGGTTTCCCTTCCATGGATGTTGAGCATTTCCCCCCGTAATTTCTCTTGATGAAGCACTGATGTAGTGATGTACGCTGCATTATCAGTTTTGGTATTAACTTTTTTTTAATCAATTATTTGTATATTCATAAAGTTTAAAGCAAGCAGCATTAGGATTATTATGTATGTTTTATTCACTACTTTAAATTTAGTATTTTTTTAGTGGCTGCTGGCTGATACTTGATCTGCTATGTCCTACTCGGTGCTGCTATATCCCATTGATTACTTTGTTCTTAGGAGAAGGTCCTTAACCTATATGAGACATGATTAATATGCCTCAACCAGGGGAATTTGTTTAGCAAATACACAGGGAGTTATGAACTGCTCTCTGACATTATTTGATCCAATCTACATGCTGTTTACTGATTTCCACTTTGAGGATAATGTGGCCCTGTTGGGAGGTGGTATTTGATAGAACCCCCATTTTTGTGGTTGCTGTGGCAGTTATGTTGTGAACCTTAACATTGCAGAAAATTGTGCATAAATGTGGTTGATACGGCTGCAATTGCAGTCATGATGCAGTTATGGAGACCCCAGGAACCTTGATGTTGCCGTTATTATTGCAGTTGCAGATCACAATTTAAAATGATATTAAACATGTGAGGTAGAATCGGTGAGGGAGGCAGCAAAGGGAAATTATGAGAGGGTCATGGAAAATGAACTGCCCAGTTAGTAGGAGTGAAGAGAATGAAAAGGGAAAGCAGATAACATTTACCACGGGTTTTATTGCTTGGAAAAGCCAGTTAGTGGAAGTGGAGGAAAGAAGGCACGGACAATCATTTGGGTTAAGGGATGTCAATAGGTCTCAGATTTCCTTCTGTTAGGGAACTATTATTCTGTTTTGCATTTTCTTTTTCCAAGCAACGAGGGTTATTATGAAGCCTGGATACTTTTTACAACACTGCTATGATTCGGCATAGATACGGGGATACAGCTCTTAAAATTTCAAAATATGATACAGTGTATATGTTATTGTAAACTTAAAAAAATAGTAATTTAGATAAATGCACAATGTTTTATAAAGAGACATTGATAATTTCTCTTTAGTGCATAATTATATCAGTGGATGGTGATCACAAATTTAAAAAAAACTACATGTGATTCTAAAAAAGATCAGTTACATATCTTTTCTGTTGCCGATATCAGAATATGTTCTCTTGCTAGGAATATGTTTCAAAATTACATGCCTTTCCCTAACCCGTGTCAGAATGTCATAATAAGCATCCTTAGTCCTACTAGAAGCCACTTTTGGCTCTGCATAATTGCCTACTATTTACTATAGCCTTAAAGGATATAAAGTAAAACGTAAAGCCACTAGCAATTTTTGTCCTATTCAAAATATTGAAACTGTGTCCCTAACATGTCAGTCAATAAGATTTGAAAAAGAAATGGAGGATACTCCACATCTGAAACATATCTTTCGATAAAATTAAAGAGTTTGTGTTTTTAATCTCAAATATGAGGTGAATTTACTTTTGGTATTTCAAATTTAATAATTATTTTAGCTATCATAAAAAAAATGTTTCAGTCCTATTCAAATGTGGGTAGTAAATCTGTGACTAAATTCTACCTATTACCAAACTTGTTATACAAATATCACTTGCATAAGTGACTCGATTTGTCATCATTGTTGATGTTAAAGTTATATGTGGTCTTGAAGAATTAAAACATTTTTCTTAATTAGTCAAAGGATTAATTTTAGATTCGAATTATAGAAACATTTTTCTCAAATTTCTGAAAATAAAAACATAATTAGACCAATTAAATTGGCGGAAAGTCGTGGGATGCATATCTAAAAGAATCAATGCATATTGGTATCAGATACAGGTACCACGCCCATGCTTTGCCACTAGGAGTATCTAGACTTCGTAGGTGGGCTGTCATGATGTGTTTACCTTCACTATAACCGGTTTATGTATTTACTCCAGAGGGAGTTGCTCTAAAAATTAAGAAAATCCAAACAATCAAACGTGCCTTTTCAGAGTTTGAGTGTTATATTTTACGGCTTTTGTTATTGTTAATCCTCAAGACTGATTTTAAATAATTAAAAACAAATATTAGAAAAAATATTTACTAAATTAAAATATCAATATTTAGTTTGATCATCTGTCCATCTCACCTGTCCTTATCTCTTTTAGCTGATGCAGCCGGGCTTCACAGAATTCGTTTGTAGTTTTTTTTTTTTTTAATAATTTCAGAAGCATAAAAAAAGTGGAGTAATCATACATGAATATTTGGTGTCATGCAGAATAATTGCCGCCGTTTATTTTATTTGGTGTCACCACATAGTATTTTGATTCAGAAGCCGAGAAATGCGGTGTAATATATAAATTTTAAAAAAAAATTATCTTTTAAAAGAAAACTATATGAAACCAGAGAATATACGACACAGTTTAGTTACATGTATGAATCGATTCGAACTAGGGAGGAGGTAACTATCTACGTTACTTGATCTTCAACAATTCCGTCAAAAACCAGATATTGAAGAGCTATGGAGTATTTTGCTGCTTTAATTGTAGCTGTGTGATGAGTTGGTGAATGACTCTTATCTTTGAGAATAAATGATCCAGATACATCCCCCTCTGCAAGACCGATACTATGACAATTAATAAATACTATTATCATTCAAGGTGAGAAGAAAGAGCACCTAGTTTTTGATACGGGAGATAGGTAACCTTTAATTGTAAAAGTCGTGTGTATCCATTTCTTATAGATGAAGTGAAACCTTGGGGAGTCTCCCTGGTGAGTATGAGTATCTGACAAGAGAAGCTTGCAACACCCTTTTTGACTGCCACAGAATTTAGAAAGGAAGCCTATTATATCATCATCATCATCATCAGGTGGTGTAAAAGTTAAACAAGTTACTCAGTTGAGTTGTCTCCTGTATGATATAATATTGTCAAAAACAGCACTGTTAGCACACTTACTTTGCAAAAGTAATTGCATTGTGGCATAAGGCTAGAGTCTTGACCATGGCCATGTCTCGTCCACGGGGATTAGAATATCTTTGTTGGCAGATCCTATTCAGATCGGAAATCAAAATCAAAAGATGAAATACAAATACACATATAATGTATGGATAAATTTATGTATTAACATTCATTGGATATAAGAAGTGTCTCTAAAATCCAAAAATAGGTTATGCATAAATTTAATTTGTAGAAATTCTTCCGTTTTAGTTTCTTTCAACTTTTTTTTTTTAATTTTTATTTATGTACAAGTTAATTTTAGCTTATTAAGAAACATCCTTTGTTATTGTTTTTTATTTTCTTCTTCTAAAAATGCTTATCGTGAAATTTTTCCAAAAAGAACCTGAAGTCATGCAAAGTAGAAAGGATAAGGAATAAGGATTGATGTTATGGTGCAAAGAGCAAAATTAATACTTGTTGTCAAAGAAATCTCCGAAATCATCAATAACAACAGCTGCAGGCAATGTATCATACAGGTGGAAGGCAGCAAAGTACTTCCTAATGTCTTCATCATCATTCACGTACCTAAACACCCAACAAATTTGAGAATGAGATTAATACAAAATGAGGCATTAGCAAAGTAGGAATACGAAATATACTTCATTTGTATGCGGTGGAAGACGTCAGAAGATGGGTCAATACCCTGAAATTCAGAAAATTTTGAAGTGGGGTTTTAAGAAATGAAGAAGAAAAATTGAAAGGGAAAGA